ATTTAAATCAGATATTTAGCCATTATAACAATTTAAGCGACCGTGCTAGAACCACGGGATTCGAGGGTGCCTAACACCTTCCCTCGGGTCAACAGAATTCCTTACTTAGAATTTCTGGTTCGCAGACTTCATTTGGAAAAGTCGAAAATTTCCTCGATTTGGGATTCAAGATAAACCGGTGACTTGGGACACCAAAAGCCAAACCTTTCCCAAGTGGCGACTCTGAATTAAATAAATAATCCCATTTCGAATATTGTCACTTAAATTGGAAAAACTCCCTCGCGCATTTATCCCTCGGGATAGGCGCGCAAAAGGGAGGTGTGACAATGACCAGATGGAGTTATATACGTGTATATATGTATATTATTTTTATATGGGATACAGGAAGAAGGTTACAGCGTTATATACACACCACCACCTGATCAGGTGGTATATGATGATGATTTTGCCCACAGTGGCTGAAATATGACTCAGACGACGTTATATATGTGTATATATGTAAATATATGTATATAGGGTATGGGAAAAGGTTACGGCGTTATACATGCACCACCACCTGATCAGCTGGTATATGTTGGTGATGTGCCCACAGTGGCCGAGACGATATGATTGAATGCCCTCAGTGGCTTGATGATATTATGTACACCCATACCTATGCATGACACAACATTTATACACATGTGCATAACGTTATAAACGTTTTAGAATTTACAAAGTTGTTCAAATTTAAAGACATGTTTCTATATTCCATGTTCTATCTATGTCTGTTACGTACTAATTTTCATGCATTACATACTCGATACATTTTTCGTACTGATGCCCTATTTCCTTGCGTTTCATGCCCCCAGGTGCAGGTAAGTAAGCTGATGGCCCCCCTTCTTAGGACCCTTGACCAGCGAGAGTTGGCGTGCTCCATTTGATCTGAAGCTGCTTTTGATTTTGGGTAAGATATATGGGTATAGCGTGGCTCAGTCCCGTCTTTGTACAGTTATGTTTCTATTAGATGTATGTGGACAGTATGTCTAGCTGGGTTGTATGTGGCCTTGTCGGCTTTCAATTTTGGATGTATAGTTTTCTGTAGTAGCCTTGCTGGCTCGCCCACTGTATTCTACATGTATACGTACATATGCCTTGATGGCAGGTTTCCTTCACGTATGTCAATTTCGTAATGCAGTATACATTATACAGGTTCATATCCTAGACGCATGTTTAAGGGTGTTTGACAGGTAGTACTCAGGCACCCATCGCGACCCATTGGTTTGGGTCGTGACAGCCAGGCCAATGACAATATTGCAGATCCTCCCCCAGCTCCGCCACGAGTAGCTCCTCGGGTGCTTCCAAATGAAGGGTACGCAAGTGCAATTGTCCCACCTCAGATCCAGGCGGGCAATTTCTAGATTACAAATATCATGCTGACCTTATTAGAGCAAAGAGGGTACTTCACAGGCGCTCCCCATCGGAATGCATATAAATATCTAAAGGACTTTGTGGATACCTACTGGGGTAGCAAATAAAAAAATATATCGGAGATGCATTGAGACTGAGATTGTTCCCTTTCTCACTTACAGGGAAAGCTTTGGACTGGATCGAAAGACTTCCCAACCGTTCCATCACTACGTGGAATGAGTTGGCCGACAAGTTTATAGCCAAGTTTTTCTCACCGGGACATATGGTTGCATTAAGGGATGAGATCTTAGCATTCAAACAGGAACCAAATAAACCCCTTCATGAAATCTGGGATAGATATAGAACTATGGTCAAGGAATGCCCCAACAATGATATGACTGAAGCAATGATCCAACAGACATTTTATCGGGGTATAAACACGACCAATCAATGTGTGGTAAACCAGCTAGCAGGGAGTAATTTTATGAAGCTATCTTATGCTGAGGCCTGCGAGATTCTTGATGAAATGGCTGGAACTTCATCAGCCTGGCAGAGTAGGGAGAATATTCCTCAAGGGGATCCTCATGTCATAAATCATCACAAAGAACTTCAAGACCACAGACAAGTCATAGCTGAGTTGACAACAACCATGAACTAGTTAGCCAAAGCACAGCTTCAGCAGATTTAGGGACCAAAGCAAGTAAACGTAATGGAAGGCGTTAATCTATTGGTGAACAAGAGGAGAAAGCATGGGCTACAAATTCAAGGCAATAAAGATCAATATGAGTAAGGCAGCATTGGTTTCAACCAAGATGATGGTTATAGTGAACAAAGTAAAGAGGTTTTGTATGCCAACAATTATCAAGGACAACGAGGTAATGCTCAAAATCAACAGTGGAGATCACAAGGGAATAATCAGAATTGGGGAAACCAAGGCCAAGGAAATTGGAACAATAACAACAAAAACTCCAACAATTTGGGTGGCAACAACAACCAAGGAAGTTGGAATAATGGTAATCGGGGACAGGTTTTCAAAGGCCTCCAATGTTTTAACAACCAAACAATCCACCTCCATTTCCATCCCAAGGTCCTAGCTCGTCAAACAATGAGATGAGGAAGATTGAGTAGATATTTGAGAAAATGATGAAAAAGAACGCCGACTCCGATGCTCAATTGGCGTCCCATAATACTTCGATCGGCAATCTAAAGGTCCAACTTGGTCAGATTTTGCAAGCTTTGAACACTCGCCCTAAGGGGGCACTACTTAGTGACACGGTAGTAAACCCGAAGGGTGGGAACAATATCGGACATACAATGGTGGTGACCACTAGGAGTGGTAGAGGTGATTATGCAAATACCTCCAAGCAAAAGGAAGTTGTGAGTGATGATGTTAAATTGCAAAATGAAGATGATCCTATAGTTTTTGAGCAAATGAGTAAAGAGAATGTGAATGGTGAGGTGAGAATTGATATTCATGACAATGAGGAGGAGACTCAAAATGACATGAACCCGTCTAGGGAGCACGTGATAGACATGCCGGAAATGGTAATACCTAAAGCCAAGGCTCCCTTGTCTAGGCCTCCTCCACCTTACCCTCAAACACTTGCAAAGCACAAGAGTGAAAACCAGTTCAAGAAGTTTATTGAGATGATGAAAAGTTTGTTGATCAATGTGCCTTCGGGATAAGCCAAGTTTATGAAAGACTTGGTGACTAGAAAGAGATCTATAGATTGTGAGACCATCACAATGACTCATCAAGTGAGTACCATTGTGCACACGATAGATCCAAAGCTTGAAAATCCTGGTACATTTACCATTCCATGTACCATTGGGAGTGCGAATTTTGCAAAGGCCTTGTGTTATTTGGGAGCAAGTATAAATTTGATGCCTTACTCCGTATTAAAAGCTTTGGGTATTGGTCAACCAAGAACTACCTCCATGAGATTGCAAATGGCCAATAGAACAATGAAGAGGCCGCTTGGTATTATTGATGATGTTCTTATCTGAGTTGACAAGTTTATTTTGCCTGTTGATTTTGTGATTCTGGACAGCGAAGTCGACTATGAGGTGCCGATAATATTGGGAAGGCCTTTCCTCGCAACAGGGAAGTCATTGGTTGATGTGGAAGTAGGGGAGTCACCTTCCGGGTGGGTGATGAAAACATTGTCTTCCATGTGTGCAAATCTATGAGGCAGCCGAATATTACTAAGGTTTGTTCTTTTATGGATCTGGTGACGGAGGTGATAGTTGATGATACAAGCACCATGTTCAATGTGGAGGATCCTTTAAAAGCAGTATTTTTGAACAATGATGTGACCGAGGATGAAGGCTTGCTAGAGTGTGTCAATGCCTTGCACGGAATGGGTTCTTACTCCTATGAGCCCTGTAAACTCTCCTTGGATCTTGAGTGTCATACCTCCTTTTTCACACCCCGAAAAGGGTATAAGGGAGTTTTTCCAATTAATGTGACAATCGAAACGGTATTATTTTATTTATAAATCAGAGTCGCCACTTGGGATAATTTATGGTGTCCCAAGTCACCGTTTTAGAATCCCGAATCGAGGAACGTTGACTCTTATTTATGGTCCGCGAACACAGAAATTCGGGTAAGGAATTCTGTTAACCCGGGAGAAGGTGTTAGGCATTCTCGGGTTTTGTGGTTCTAGCACGGTTGCTCAACGATTATTAGTGGCTCAATTATCTGATTTAATTACACATTTTAAACCTACGTGCCCTTTTAACATTTTAGCCGCTTTTAATATTTCAGGAAATTTCAAGGTTATTTAAAATACATCGTAAGACACGCTACATGAAATGCACCCGCGGTTCACGACACGCTTTATTTAACCTTGTTAGAAATTAGAACCGGATCACATGAAATATACACCCGGATTTATAACATGTTTATTTTAATTATTATTATTCAAAATTATGGCAGGGTCATATAAAATGCACACCCATAGTTCAGTTGATGAATAGTAACCCAATTTCTATACTCTAACAAAATCATATTCAGCTATAACCAATTCGAGATGGCCGTAAAGCAAACAATTATGGAATTTATTGATGGATCAGTGGTGGAGTTTTAAACTATTGGTAAGTTAATCTATTAAACAATGTATTTATGCCCATATGAGTATGAATGAGAATATAAGAAATCATTATGTTAGTCAGAACTCAAAAGCTAATGCGAAACTAACTGTCGGCACCGTAGGTCAATTAATTCAATCATTTTCCCTAACATTGAAACAATTATTTTGAAACCCGAATTTTCAAAGTAACGCCTAACCTTGTATCCTACTATCCACAAATCATAAATCTCCAAAACTCATTTATTCATCCAAAAAAACATTCCAGAGAACTAAAAAAAAAACTTAGTATCTTATTAATCTAACAATGAAAGCTAACAGGATATATATTGCTAATAAATGGTATTTCAACTTGACAATTCACCACTAAACATTGAGCTTATATTAGAGAAAACAACATACAACACCCAAGAGAATAAATGACTAACAAAATCATGATAGAATCTAATTGAAACTATGACCTCAATGGAAGCTCAAATTTTACAGGATGAAACTAGATAATATCTTTCCAGCAATTCCAACATAGCCTAAACCAAGAAAAATTGAAAAGAAATAATAGATAAGTATCATGCTATTCATAACACATTCAAAATTGACGTCAAAATAGAAGTAAGAGTGGGGAAAATTGAACCTGAGATGGCTTCTTTTAAATGAGTAAAATCAGTGACTACAATGATAGGTTTAAACTGACTGTGTGCAAGACCCGACGACGAAAACAAACATGAGCAACAACTGAATCGGGCCTCAAACCATACCCCGAACCGGCGGCTAGAACCTCGACTCGAAAACCCAAACGCCTTGCCAGAAAACTCGGATGATTAAGCAGATCTGAAGGTTTTAGTCATGTTCATGGCTCTTCATCACTGTTGGTCGCCATTTTCGGTGAGACTTGGTGAAGGCGGCTGGAGACGGGTCTGTTTGGTTGGTGTTCCGGTGGTTTTTTGGTTGAATAGCTGGCAGAGATGGGGTCGTTTTTGAAGAGTGGTTAAGGTGGTATTGAATCAGTAAGATGAAGAGAGGAACGTTTGAAGCTTTTTTAGATGGGGTGGGTCGTGTGTGTTGTGTCAATTTTAGGGGTGCGGTGAAGAAGACAATTTCGGGGGGGGGGG